TTTTTATTCCTTTCTACCAGCTTTGAAATTTTGATTGAAAATCTTGTTTTTTTTTTTTGGTTTTTCTTTTCTTACGTCTGAGATCGCGTAATATTTAGCAATAGTTTTTATCGCTTTTTCCAGTTAAAAAACACATTACTTTGGAAATTCTTGCAAAAATCAAATATTTTTCAGATTTTAATGAAACATTTAGAAACTATTAAAAAATGAATGAAATAAAATGAAATTATTTTAGAAATGTTTACTTTTTAGAAAATCATGATAATTTTTTTTTACTTCTGTTACTCCCCGCCTTACTTAATATCATGAAATCTCGAAAACTCAAGCATGTGTCTTTTTGTAATTTTTTAATTAAATGTACAACCCATTAAAGAATATAAAATATCGATTTTTCTTGTAAATCGATGATAGTTTCTAATCAAATTTTAGCTCTGAATTGTAAAATACTAAACCCAATAAAACTAAGACCTCAGCTCAACAAGCATCGTGTTGGATTAGGTCAAGATCCCAAATAAATAAAGTTTAATAAAACTATGCTCGCAGCACAATGCTACTCCCGACGTGAAATACAACTGTTTAATTTATTTCTAGGTCATTAACAACGGTCACTATGAGCGTGTATTGGTTAACAATCAAAAGCAAACTCTTTTAACACAACGTTGAAAATCTGAGATGCAGTTGTATAAAAAATTGCAGATTGACACGTCTAAAAAAGCAATACTCTGTCCGGTGGCAAAAGCTGCTGGTGGCGCCAAGGGTAGCAGTACCGCCTCAACCCCCGAAACTGTATTACTTTCACTGCGTGGTGGCTGGCGAGGGTCGGGTTTCGCACATGATTTCACTCGTTTTATGTAGAAAAAGATATATTACCAATGGTTCATGGCCAAATTACCTCCGTTTACTCCACTGCGAAAGGCAGGCGATTATACGCGGACTATTATATTCATTTTTTTTGTTGTTATTGCCACAAAGTTTCGGCTGTTGTGCCTCCACCCGGCGCTTAGAAATAAATGACAAGCTACTGCGGGAAAAAAAATGTCTGTCTCGAAAGATACATTATCGCCTAAGCGTGTATACAAGATATCGAAAGATACATGATCTCCTAAGCGTGGAAGCACAGTGGAGCAATGGATAGCGGCTCAGATTGAGGTGTCTGAGAGCCAAGTTCAAATTCCAGCTGAATCCATTACATTCACTTATGTGTTCCCCCAGCTATGGGTAAATAGTAAGACAAACCGGGTTCTATAGCCTTGGATGGCAATTGGTCTACAACAGAAAGAAATGGCAACCGACTGCGAGAAAAAATCTGCCTCGTCAGTCATGTATTGAAAGAGACATGATCACCTAAGCGTGTATCATGGTGCATAACTGATTGACATCGTTCAGGCTGTTTTCCACATATTTAGTGTCATATTCACGACGTTTCGGCCATCTTTAGGACACTCCGGCCATCTTCATGATCTGTCTATATTTCTGAGATGAGGTATTGTATTTATTTAACCTATTTACATCGTTCGGACTGCTGTCTTTATATTTTCTGTTATATTCACGCGGGTCTACCTCAGAAAAATAAATGGCATGGACTGACGTCATTCGGGCTGTTTTCCACATCTTTAGTGTCATATTCACAACCTTTCGACCGTTGTACGCTTCGGCCATCTTCAGGATCTCTCTATATTCGTGAGATGAGGTATTGTAATCATTTACACTATTTACATTGTTCGGACTGATGTCATCATATTTGTTGTCATGTTCACGATGGAAAGAAATTGCAACCTACTGCGGGAAAAAAAATCTGCCTCGTCAGTCATATATCGAAAGATACATGATCGCCTAACTGTGTATCACGTATGGCACATAACTGACTGAATGAGAAAATAATGGCAACTTCTTTTACTTGTATAGCAAGCTCAAAGTGGGATTGAGACAGGCGAGATATGTCAAACCTGGTTGCCTCTGGCTGTTGGATGTTTTCTCTGTCAAGGTCCGCTTTTGGCAGAAGGCGCTGTCCTCTTCAGTCGGTTTCACTGATGACATCCTAGCTATGGGTAAATAAAAGGACAGTACGGGTTCTATAGCCTTGGATGGCAACTGGTCTATTGCAGAAAGAAATGGCAACCTACTGCGGGAAAAAATCTGCCTCGTCAGTCATGTATTGAACGATACATAATCACCTAAGAGTTTATCACGTATGACACATAAATGACTGAATGAGAAAATAAAATAAAGACGATTACTTTTCATTGTATAGCAAGTAATACAGTGTAAACCGGATATAAGAGACCCGGATATAAGAGAAACCCGGATATAAGAGACTTCTTCTCCGGTCCCAACAACTCTCTTATATCCGGGTTACACTGTATATATAAATCCCCAAATTATGACCCTTCTTTAAGGTCAGCAAAACAAAGACTGCAAAGGAAACGATAGCACTCACGCATAAAATCCTTTACTAATTTCAGAAACTACAACTTGCAAAATATTGTTCGGGAAATGCTGGTTTGCAGATATGTTAGATATTTATCTCTAAAGCTGTTGATAGTTTTGCTTCACAGAAAATAGTAGGCGGGGTAAACGTAGATTTAAAGAGAGAAACACCGGGTAGCAAGCAAAGGCTATATGACGAAAACACGTGCTGACACTTTATAATCCACAAGTAAATTAGTGTAAATAAGTTCAACATTTCAGAATTGTTACACAAGGAATTCTGTCCTCTACGTTGAAACTGTAAACCATTTCTATCCAACATGGCGAAGTGATTTCGTTCGCCCAAAACCTAAACAAGACGAAATAACAACGTTTATTTACGCTGGAATGTCTGGTGATCGTCACGCCTCTAGCATCACGATCGTCATCCTCCTTTCCTATTCCCCTTCCTCTCCCTTTGGTGGCGGTGGCTGGGATGACTGTGAATCAAAGATAGTATGATGCCCCCACACTTGTCCAAAAGCGCCTTCCTCGCAGCTCAAAGTGGGATTGAGACAGGCGAGATATGGCAAACCTGGTTGCATCTGGCTGTCGGATGTTTGCTCAGTCAAGGTCCGCTTTTGGCAGAAGAAGGCTCTTCCCTCTTCAACTGGATTGGCCGTTGAGATCGTTTTAATGTTATTCCGCCGTTGGGATCTTCTTGGTTTGGTCGCATTCAGTTTGATCCTTCTTCTTACCACCTTGGGTGACCTTCTAGGAGTTGGAAGTCCAGGCGGCTTCGTTCTTGGGATAACTGGGACAAGTAACCTCTCTAGTATGACAATGAACGACCATATACATTTTATATAGGACATCAGAGTGAACAGTACGTTATCAAATGTACCACAGGAATATCTAAAACGTTAATGACTGAAATCAATTGTTTTAAATCACTTATTGGCGTTTTATAAACGGTTGTATCTTATGGGGGAGGCACGGTGAAGTAATGGATAGCGGCTCGGATTGAGGAATCTGATAGACGAGTTCAAATTCCAGTCGAATCCGTTGCATTCACTTACGTGTTAATACTCTTGGGAAAGGTAGTAACCCCCTGCTTATTCCTCCTACTATAGGTAAATAACAGGACAGATCGGGTTTTGATAGCAGCTGGTCTACAGTAGAAAGAAATAGCAACCTACCAGAGGAAAAAATCTGTCTCGTTAGCCATGGGTTAGGGTCAGAGTTAGCACTGACTGCTTTGTATGCAGAGAGATTATTTTAGAGTATTCGTTTTTCTTACAGTTACGGGTAGAAGAATATATCAAAGAAAAAAATATTGAAGAAGAAGAACGAGAATAATAATAATAATAATAACAAGTAGTAGTAGTAGTACTAGTAGAAGAAGAAGATGTAGAGAATGAAGGATTATTAATAGTAGAAAAAAGAAGAAGAATGAAACAAGCAGGAAGAAGGACAATGTAAAAAAAATTCGGGTAGAAGAATACGTTAAAGGGAAATAGAAGAATCAGGAGGGAGAGAAGAAGAAGAAGAAAAAGAAGACGAAGAAGAAGAAGAGGAAGACGAAGAAGAAGAAGAACAATCAGGAGGAAGAGTGGAAGAAGAAGAAGAATCAGGAGGAAGAGTGGAAGAAGAAGAAGAAGAAGAAGAAGAAGAAGAAGAAGAAGAAGAAGAAGAAGAAGAAGAAGAGGAAGAAGACGAAGACGAAGAAGAAGAAGACGAATCAGGAGAAGAAGAAGAAGAATCAGGAGGGAGAGAAGAAGAAGAAGAAAAGAAGAAGAAGGAAAGAAGACGAAGAAGAAGAAGAACAATCAGGAGGAAGAGTGGAAGAAGAAGAAGAAGAAGAAGAAGACGAAGAAGAAGAAGAAGAAGAAGAAGAAGAAGAAGAGGAGGAAGAAGAACAATCAGGAGGAAGAGTGGAAGAGGAAGAAGACGAAGACGAATCAGAAGAAGAAGAATCAGGAGGAAGAGTGGAAGAAGAAGAAGAAGAAGAAGAAGAAGAAGAAGAAGAAGAAGAAGAAGAAGAAGAATGAAACAAGCAGGAAGAAAGACAAGGGAGAACAGGAAGCGGGTGGAAGAATATATTAAATAATAATAATAATAATAATAATAATAATAATAATAATAATCAAAGAGCAAGTGAAACAATTTTGATTGAATACACGTATAATGGTTTTTAGTTTATTTTGATGATATAAATCGAAGTGTTAACGCTTGAAAAGAAATCTTCTATTTACTTGGATTGTCTTCCATAAAAATAAAAAAAAATAAAAATCTAACTTCCTAAAATCTTTCTAGATCGCGATTTCAGGAAGGCGACAAAAAGAGAATTTTGATATATGACATATTTTGTGGTTTTATTTAACTTTTCATCTTTTTTTTTTTTTTTTGGTTTTGCGACTTTTATATCCGAACCTTTTTTGTCTTTTGGATTATTGTCAGGCCGTGTGCGCGTGACTTTGTTTTTGAATGATTGCCTTGTTTGCTTCTTGGTTTGAATTGTGTGTGACGAATGCACTGGCGTTCAAGATGTTGGAAGGATTTTTCAAGAAATTAAAACGAGGCTGGTAAATAATTCAAGAAGGACAAAGAGACAAACAGAGAGGGCGAGAGAAGGAAATAGTCACCTGCAGTGTGGCTCTGTCATCCATCATCTGGAGGCAACTGTAAAGGCAGCAAAGTAAAAAGATCGTTTTCATCGATGTTCTCAAGGAGGAAAAGAAGGGATAACGGGGTAAGAAGAGGAGGACATTTACAAAGGATAATGTGGGAGGAAAAAAGGTTTCGAAAGATAGAAAGAGAGAGAGAGGGAGAGAGAGAAAGAGAAAGAGAGAGAGAATGAAATGGTAAAGATGAAAATAGGGAAAGTATAAGGAAACACAACGAAAGTGACACCAAAGAAAGAAAGAAAGAAAGAAAGAAAGAAATGGCCGACAAGAAGATATAAGGACAGAAAGAAAAAAAGGAATAAAGAAAAGAAAAGCTAAAGAAGAAAAATAGAGAAAATAAAACTAAAAACAACGGAAGAGACGCAAAAAAACAAGAAAGAAAAAGAAATAAAGAAAGAAAGAAAGAAAGGAAAAAAGAAAGAAATGGCCGAAAAGAAGATATAAGGACAGAAAGAAAGAAGGAATAAAAAAAAGAAAGGCTAAAGAAGAAAAATAGAGAAAATAAAACTAAAAACAACGGAAGAGACACCAAAAAAAGAAAGAAAAAAAGAAAGAAAGAAAGGAAAGAAAGGAAAAAAGAAAAGAAATATTAAAAGAAGATATAAGGACAGAAAGAAAAAAGGAATAAAGAATTTAAAGAAAAAAGAAGAAAAATAGAGAAAATAAAACAAAAAAACAACGGAAGAGAGACCAAAAAAGAAAGAAAAAAAAAAAAGATTTAAAAAGAAAAAAAAGAAATAAAGAAAAAAAAAGAAAGAAAGAAAAAAAAAGTAAGAAATGGCAAAAAAAAAAAGATACATAGGACAAAAAGAAAAAAAGGAATAAACAAAAAAGAAATTAAAGAAAGAAAAAAATAGAAAATAAAACTAAAAACAACGGAAGAGACACCAAAAAAAAAAAAAAAAAAAAAAAAAGAAAGACGACAAAAAAAAGGAAAAAAGAAAAAAAAAATTTGGCCGAAAAGAAGATATAAGGACAGAAAAGAAAAAAAGGAATAAAGAAAAGAGAAAAGCTAAAAGAAAATAAAAAGGGAAAATAAAATAAAAACAATAGAAGAGACAAGTTGTTTTCAAAAAAAAAAAAAAAAAAGAAACAAACAAACAAACTAAGAAACAAAGAAAGAAAGAAACGGTCGAATAACAGCATAAGGACAGTAAGAAAGAAGATATAGGACAAAGAGGAAGTAAAAGTAAAGAAAATAGAAGAGACACCAAAGAAAGAAAGAAAGAAAGAAAGAAAGAAAGAAAGAAAGAATCTGAGAACGGAATACATAACAAAGGAAGTAAGGAAGGAATTAATAAGAAATAACGTAAAGTACAGAGAACGAAGGAAAGAAAAATAAAAAAAATAATCAGAGTTGGAGAAGAAGTGAAGAAAATAGAAAAGACGAAGAACTAAAAAAAAGAATTAATGAAAGAAAGAAAACAAGACAAAAATAAGAGAAGGGAAGAGTAAAAGCGAAAAAGAAATAAGGAACGAATGCACAACAAAGATATACCAAAACGAAAGAGAAAAAGAGGAATTATTAAAATAATAAAAAAAGAAAGAACACAACAGACAAACAAAGACAGGATAACTGTGAAAATACGAGAATTATGAAGAAAAATAGAAAAAAAAGGCAAATAAATAAAAAAAAAATCAAAGAAAAAAACGAAGCAAAATAAAAACAATCTCTTGAATATTTTTGACAGAAAATGAGAAAAAGCGGCCCTTTTTTTTCCTTTCTAACGGAATAGTGAAACATGAAAAGTACTGAAATGTCGTCACCCGTCGAGAGTATAAGTCAAATCCATCATGTCCCCACCGAACAAGGTGACAATATCACACGGGCCTCATGAATTCTTTAGCGAGAAGAAAAAGAAGTTTAAGAAGTATATTTCGAGCAGGAAGAGAAAAGATCGAAGCAAAAAATAAAAATAAAACAAAATAAAAATGGTGATCAGTGGGAAATTGGAATTCAATATTAATATAATATGGCGAGGAAAAATATAAAAGGAAGCGATCTGGAAAGGCAGTAGAAAGGAAAAAATGCCACAGGAAAATGTGAAGAACAGAGTAAAATGAAGGATGGAATGAAGAACAGGGTAAATGATGTATGAAAAAAAAGTGGGCAAAATGAAAGACGAAATGAAGAACAGGGTAAAGGATGTATGAAAAGAAGAACAGGGTAAAATGAAGGAAGGGAATGAAGAACAGGGTAAATAATGTATGAAAAAGAACAGGGTAAAATGAAGAATGGAATCAAGAACAGGATAAATGATGTAAGGACAAAAGAACAGGGTAAAATGAAGGAGGGAATGAAGAACACGGTAAATGATGTATGAAAAAAGAACGGGGTAAAATGAAGGATGAAATCAAGAACAGGGTAAATGATATATGAAAAGAAGAACAGGGTAAAATGAAAAACGGAACGAAGAACAGGGTAAATGACGTATGGAAAGAAGAACAAGGTACAATGAAGGACGGGACGAAGAATGAGGTAAATGGTGTAAGGAAAGAAAATCAGGGTAAAACGAAGGTTTTTTCACTAATATACAATATATACAAGGCTCAAGAATCACTCAAGATAGAGAATTACTGAAGGAAGTAAGATTAAGAAGGGTATGCAGCGTAATTTATGAGGGCATATGTGAAAGATTAAGGTTAACCCGAGACTTGAACAGGTTATCATTGTAGGAGTCATTAGAGCTTCCTCTTGAAAGTTAGTTCCACAAAGATACGGTTTGCCGGAAGAACCTGTTCGAGTGGATATTCCTTCTTACTAATGGAAGAAGAAGGAAAATGAGATTATTCGTCCCTGTAAACTTTGCCTGTCCGGCTTTAGCTTGCGAAAATAAAATCTGGTGGAAATAAGGAAGGTCGGTCGTCAAAACATTTGCCATGGAAATGAAGATAAAGCAAGAGAGACTTGCAATGTTCCTGCTATGCGATAGAAGTTGCAGGCTGAAAAATAATTAAGGAAAAAAGAAAAAAATTAGAAAGAGCAGGAGAATTAGATTGAGATGACAAGAAGGAAAAAAAAAACGAAGCAAGAAGGAAGAAAGAAATGCCAGAATGGAAAAAGGGTGGTGGGGAGTAAAACAAGAAGATGAGGAAGATGATATCAATAAAGAAGAATGCCTACAGAAATTTGAAAGACGATTAAAATACAAAAAAGACAAAGAATAAGTTTGAGGTTATTTTTTTTTTTTTTTTGCAATGATGTTCGCCCATTACAAGGCCCAAGAGGAACCCGCGGTAGACGTTTAGAAAGTAAGAGGATTTGGATTCAGTGAGAAAAATAAAACATACTTAAAAATAAAGAGAAAGAAAGAAGGAAGAAAGGAAGAAAGAAAGGAAGAGTGAAAAAGAAAGAAAAAAGGAAAGAGAAAGAAAGAAAGAAGAAAGAATAAGGAAGAGAGAAAAAGAAAGAAAAAGAAAGGAGAAAGAAAAAAGAAAAAGAAAGCAACAAACAAACAAACAAACAAACGAAAGAGAATGAAAGACGAAAGAGAGACAGTAGAAAGAAAGAAAGAAAGAAAGGAAGGAAGGAAGGAAAGAAAGAAAGAAAGAAAGAAAGAAAGAAAGAAAGAAAGAAAGAAAAAAGAAAGAAATAATAACAAAGAAAGAAGAAAGAAAAAAGACAAAAGAAAGAAAGAACGAAGAAAGAAAGAAAGAAAAAGAAAGAAAGAAAAAGAAAAAAATAAAGGAAGAAAGAAGAAAAGAAAGTTAGAGGAGATGATAACTTCAGTGAAATGGAAACCGTATTTATGGTGAATCAATTTGACAGAGAAAGAAAGAAAGAAAAAACAAACAAACAAGAGAGAATGAAAGACGAAAGAAAGAAAGAGGAAAGAAAAAAGTAGGAAAGAAGAAAAAAAGAAACAAAAATAACAAAGAAAGAAAGAAAGAAAGAAGAAAGAAAAAAGACAAAAAGAAAGAAAGAACGAAGAAAGGAATAAAGAAAAAGAAAGAAAGACGTAAGAAAAAAGAAATAAAGAAAGAAGAAAAGAAAGGTCTAGATAGAGGAGGTGATAACGCTCTCATGCTTTTAACATTTGCTTCAGTGAAATGGAAACCTTATTCATGGTGAATCAATTTGGCAGGTCAGGAGCATGCAGGAAAAATTCTTACACTGGTTGAAAGGAATCAGGCGTGACAGACATCTGACAAAATATCTGAGAGTCTTTTAGTTCCAATGAACAGTTACATTCTCAAAGCGGATCTATTGGGACCCAAATCCATTCTAGACATCAAGAGGCACTCATATGCGATCCATCGCTAAAGATGTTGGTAAAACGGTTGGCCCATTCTACCTATCAGGAAAATGTCCAGCTTTTTCTGCCATGTTCCGGCTTACGGTCATATCATGTTGAAACATCGTTTTCCGTATGATCACCGAAGTTAAGTCGACCCTAGATGAATGACCGATTGGAAATACCAGGTAATGTAAGCTTGGATGTGCGGAGGGTGTAATTGATAATGGTTCGGAATTGTTAATTGCGAAGCCGAGTTTCGATCCCGTTGGGTTTATCACATTCACTGACGGAATCTCTTCCATGCACCGCCATAATAATATACAATAATTTTTATTTAGAATATATATTTTTTAAATTTCTAATAATCTTTTGCGTTAGATTTCAACTCTCTAAATTGTACGTTGTTTTTTTACAGACACTAAATTTTGCCTTTGATTTTGACCATTTTTTTTTTTTTAGATTTTTCACATTTAACGTTGTAATTTTTTCCAGACAATTTTGACTCAAAACCAGCATTTAAGAATTATCTATCAAACAATAAAAAAAAATCGAAATCGGCAAAAAAAAAAAAAAAAACTGTGGAAGCGCATAAACAACATCCGATCCCGCACACACATATATACACGCAAACATTATAGATATAGACAGGGAATGTATTTAACGATGTCTTTATAGCATCAGTGCGAAACCGCTTTCGTCGGTGAGGACTCTTGGCGTATTTGTGATCGCTGCGTGACTCACTCGAGTACAAGACGCAGGCACAGTGTTCCTTATTATATTTACTACATGACCTACGAAAAGAATATAAAGAACATAGATATTAATAAAGGTATATACAGTGAATCCCCCGTATTCGCGGGGGTTAGGGATCAAACCCGGCCGTGAATAGTTAGAATCCGCGGATACTTGCAACCTCCCCAAAAGTGCTTATAAGTATCTATTTTGATTGTTAAAACCTCATATGTCTTAAACTTTCATCCTAAACACTTTAGAAACATTTCAGACTCTTTTTAAAACATTTTTGAAAAATAGTATTGGCGACCATACACTTAGCGTAAATTTTCTTTCATACGTACAATAACTGTTTTTAATTACGCATAGATCGATTCAACCAATGCAAATAATGTATAAAATATGTTTAGCAAGACATAAAATATAAAGTTTAAAACATTTTTTATAAACAGAACTGTGATGATACCCCCAGACTTAGCATAAACCACTTTTAAGACCTCAGACGCAGACCCTAACAAAAAAAAAAAAAAAAGCCTAAGCACTACGCATGATTTTGCCTTTGTTTTTATACAATGAAGATGTACACTTGTGTCAATTTTTATCATAAAAATGAACTGTTTTAAGTCATTTAAATAACAGGAAAATAATACAAGAATGTTTTAAATAAGTTCTGTTGAAAAAAAATACGTGAATCGAGAAGGTTCTGTGAATAATTTGTACATATGTTCTTCAGAAATGAACATTTAAATATTCGGGGTTTCCGCGAATAACAAGTACATATGCACTACAGAAAATCCGCGAATCTGTGAACCGGCGAATACTGAACCGCAAGTAGGTGGGGGCTGAGTGTAATCATTTTTATTTGGCGGTGGGTGTCCCTGAGACATAGAAACTATGTCAGGGGTTCCAAAACGTAAAAAGATTGAGAAAAACTCAATAAGAATATTGCAGCCATTTACGCAGTCTTGTAGGGGAGGGAGCATTTCCCACTATACATCCCCTTTCCTCAAAGGTGAAACATCGTAATTTCCACGAAAAACTGATAAGCTGAATTCTATGCTTTAGTTTTCACCGTAGGTTCAATGTTAAAAGTATTTTTTCTCTCGCATTTCTTGCTTGTGGAACTATCTAACGGCTTCTTGCTTTCTAAATACTCTTGGATTTTTAAAGGTTTAAATGCAATCTAAATCGTTATCTTCTCTCTTCGATATAGCAGTGAAAGAATGGCAAAGCTATGGCTGTGAGGTAAGGGTTGAGGGATGGCTTCTAAATTCCTATTCTTTTATTGTTCTTTCTTCTAAAAATTGTTTTTTTCAGTTTTTGGGGATTATTGCTCATTAACCGAATACAGTCTTAATGGGATTATTGAAAACAGGGTGAAATGATGAAAGAACACACACATTAACACATACACACACACACACACATACATATATATATATATATATATATATATATATATATATATATATATATATATATATATATGAAATGAAAAAGAATGGAGTTCAGTTCCGACGTTTGTAATAATACAAAATAGACAATAGTACATACGTTCTATCAGATAAGCATTTATATTTACATACGTAAAACCTATTTCTTATGATTTGATTTGATTTTTATCCCATCAATAAATTATTTGGTAAAACCATATTTGAATAGAATATATTCTTTGGTTTGATTTGTTTGGTTTTTTGTTTGACCGTGCATATCAACTTCAATGGATTATTTAATGACATTTTAGGATAGATTTTGAATAGGATGCATTATTTTGGTGAAGAATAGAATGATGCATTCATCAATGGGTTATTTTGGTTTAGGATTTGTTTGGTTTGTTTTGGTTTAGATTTTTGTTTTATATCAACCTCAATGGGTTATTTTTAATGTAGATTGTTATGAAATATTCTTTGGTTTAGATAAGATTTGTTGAAATGAAAATGGGATTTAATTACATTTTTTGTTTAGAATTATGTTTGGTTTAGGATTTGTTTTTTGTTTTACGGCATATTAACCTCAATAATTTATTTAATGCCAACATTTTTAGGATAGATTCGTATGAATAGAATATGTCTTCCTTGGTTGGTTTAATTTGTTTGGTTTGTTTTGTTTTACGACATATAGAACCTCAATGGGTTATTTAATGCGAACAACATTTTTTATTGCTGTTAATATTTTATTTTTCTCAAAAATCTGTTTCTGGTAATATATTTGCTTCAAAATTGTATTTTTATAATTTTTTTCAAAACAGTATTGCTGGTAATAGTTAACTCTTTGCCCATAGCTGGGACCCTAACAGGTGCTACCACCCTGGGTTATCGTGGACCTGGGAACACCAGCAATTAAGAGGTGGTTACACGCTCCTCAAAACATCCTGATCAGAGGCATTGCTGCTGGATGTAATTTATCGTATTACCCAGGACGCGTATGTAGTTTAATGTCTTACCCAGGACGATTCTTCATATATATATATATATATATATATATATGAAGAAATATGGTATTAAGGTGTGCCATATTTATGGGATAAAGTGCTCAATATCAGAGACAGAGCATGTGTAAATATAAAAGTGAACATTGAAGTCAACACTTAGAGGCGACAGGCTGTTTCATGCTAGACGCAATCGTCACTCCATTTATATCTGTATATATTGTATAAATAGCGGATAAAAAAAACATATATATCGTAGCCTGACGATTGCGTCTAACATGAAACAGCCTGTCGCCAATTTTTACTTAATGTGACATTTTATATATATATATATATGTATGTATATATATATATATATATAGTTCTTCATATATATATATATATATATATATTTCTTCATATAAATATATATATATATGGTGCGAGGCATTAATTGTCGTCTAATTTACGCAAAAAATGAAAAGTTTTACAGAAATTTAAATTTTTTAAAAAATTCATTAAATACTTAAAGAGTAAATTTATTCAATAAAATCGCCATTAGCCGCCACCAAACGACTTCAGAATTTTCTGCAACTCATCTGGACAATTTCCTTGTTTAAATTGTTGAACGCTGCCATAATCCTTGCCTTTAATTTATCTTTCGTGGTACAAGGATTTTTGTTGGTCTCTCGCTCAAATGCGTCCCACATAATAATCAAAAGAATTGCAGTCTGAAGAGTTAGGCTGGCAGAATCCTGTTTACCATGTATAGGGTCTTCCAGCAGCCATGCTCTTGACCCAGTTCAGCACTAGCTCTTCATGTAGGCCTTCCTGTTGAGTCTGTGACCCTCACCAAGAAATTCGGGTCTTCTTTTCTTACAGAACGCTCAGAGTGATTTTGCCGAGCTGCTGTACCTTCGTAATCAACATTAGACTCATCTAACTCTTTGCGTATGCACTATCCTTAGATTGTAACCCAAACACTCTGAAATATTCGTATTGGAGCCTCCTGTGTGAATGCCAAGCAGTACAGCATGCCGTTTTCACATTTCTGCCGGAGTGAACTACGTCATCTTGCTCTTTTTCTCACAGACGATGCCCAGCTTACCTTATTATAGTGTGCAGTCTAAAAATAAAAGAAAGACACAACGCGCATGCGCGATATTAAAAATATAAAAATGGCGAGTGTTTACCCATCGCATCCTGGTTATAAATTCATGGTAATTGTTCTGATGAACTTTCCGCTATGGTATTTAGAATTTATGAATTTAAGTGTAGTACTTGATTGGCGGTTAAGTCTCATCATTTTGCAGTTGAAATGGCTAGATGTAACCACTAGTTATATGTTAGTAGTTTCTTTTCTCATAGTTCTGGCTTATGAAACTCGCTTCGGGCTTCTTGCTTCTCAGACAAATTTGAGCTTCAACAATTTAAATGGAATGTCAATCGTTATCTTCTGTCTTCCTAATACTTGTTCTTTCATTGGAGTTTTTCTCATATGCCGTAATACTCAGTAACCCTTTTCATCTTAGTGACTTTATTCCCTTGCTTGTGTGAATTGATTAAAGAATATGTTTATATGAATTAAAGATCGAAACCACCAATTTTATAGCTTCAATAAAATAAATAAATCGAATTCCGTTTCCTATTTTTATCGGATTTCTATTGCATTTATTTTTTGGTTTCTATTTTTAAATTTTTAATTACTTTCTACAGTTGGCAGGATTTACGTTTGTTTTACCAATACTTGCTGTGGTATCTACATCGAGAGAGAGAGAGACAGAGTGAGATTTGTTTAGAGGTGGATAGATAGATAAAGAGAGAGTGAGATCTATTCAAACTTTGATAGATAGATAGATAGATAGATAGATAGATAGATAGATAGATAGATAGAGAGCGAGGAGATGGACAGTTCATTTTATATATATATATATATATATATATATATATATATATATATATATATATATATATAATATAAAAGGCTCTAAAACTAATATTATATTATATTCTTACTCTGTCCTAGATATTTTTTTACCTGGATTCTGTCCTCTTGGAAATTTATATATATATATATATATATATATATATATATATATATATATATATTGACCATTTATATATATATATATATATGTATATATATATATATATATATATATATAGAGAGAGAGAGAAGGAGAGTGAGTGATTTATTCAGCTATTTGCATAGATAGATAGATAGACACTATGATAGAGACATATATATATATATATATATATATATATAATATATAAAAATATATAATATATATATAGTGAGAGATGGAGGGTGAGAGTAAGTGAGAGAGAAGAAACATATTAAACTTACATAGATAGATAGATAGATAGATAGATAGATAGATATCCATCCACTTGGATATATAGAACGATAGATAGTGAAAGAGAGCGAGAGATATCCGTTATATATATATATATATATATATATATATATAGTGAGATATCAGTTCAAACTGTTATAGATAGAGAGGAGAGAGATCTTTTCATATAGATATAGAAAGAGAGAGAGAGACAGAGAGAGAGAGAGAACGTGTGGTGAAATCTGTTCAGACTGGGATAGATAGATAGATAGATATGAATGGGATAGAGATAGATAGATAGATAGATAGATAGATAGATAGATAGATAGATAGATAGATTTTCGATCAATTTCCTTAACCCTAATACTAGACTACCATACAATCCGGTACCATCACCCCGAATCCCTAGAGAAGTTCTTGGAAGATCCGTTTTCCAATATAAACGTCCACTTCAAAACAGTATTAGAAATTTTTTTTTCTGTCACATAGAAATCTGATTTCTCAATACGTTGGGAAAGAATGATAAATAATTCAAATTATTACGTTGTGGAACAAAAAATGGAAATTCAGTGATTCTTTTTCAAGAAAGAAAATATCTCTATTGAAGACAGACGATGTCAGTAATCATTTTTACTCTTCTACACACAATCACGATAATTTTTCACACATATATATATATATATATATATATGAAAAAAGATTAAGGAAACATTATCAACGCGTTTCGTCCTCTGAGATACATTATCAAGTCAAATGTAAGGTTGTTTTTCTCTGAAGCGTAGTTATATGCAAGTGGAAAAGTATTATTGGCTTTTCAAATCTTTTGGTATGCGGTGCTCATGAATATTCATTAGGTTCTCCGAAATGACACTTTTGTTTATTAGGCATTGAACTGTATCCCTTCACGTCCATGAACTTGCCTGATTCTTCTGCTAACCTGGCGAATATTCAGGATCTCCCTTATTCCAAAAATTTTGAGACACCAATAACGTTTTTGGTCTCATACGCAAATACTTGTCACAAAATAAAATCTTAACAGAAAGACGACGACTATGATATTTTTTTCCTTTTTTTTATATTGTCCTGTTTTGGACAAAATCCATTTGAAATTTTTACACACACACACACACACACACATACACATATATATATATATATATATATATATATATATATATATATATATATTTATAAACCGTCTCAATTCCTTCGAAAAAATGTATGAAGGTAAAGCAGATCAAGAAAGAAGGAATAAACAGCCTGACAAATTAAATGAGATATGATTTATAGTGGTGATAGGTAAAAATGCAGAACCATCCATTAATTTGAAAGAACCGAATACAAGAGACCTCTTAATGCACGCCACAAGATCTCGAAACGATAGGGGTTTTCTCCTCATAGAAAGAAATATCCAAGGCTATAGAACCCAGTCTGTCCTACTATTTACCCATAACTTGAGAAGAGAAGAATTCATACCTTAAGAAAAAGGACATTAGCACGTAAGTGAATGTAATGGATTCGATTCGGCTTTCCTATTCCAAATTCATTAATCGTGCCTGCAATCAGTAAGTTATGAGAATGACGTGATACCATTTTAAAAATAAATGTATCTTTCAATACATGAATTACTAGGCATATTTTTCCTGCAGTAGGTTGCCATTTCTTTCTGTGGTAGACCAGTTACAATCCAACTATTGTTTTGCTATTTTCCCATAGCTGGGAGATGAAGGAAAGGATTCATACGTTTCCCAACGGTATTATCACGTAAGTGAATGTAATGGATCCATTATTATGCCGTATACATATTCCATAATGGTTCACTTCCATTATTGTGACTCAAAACATTAAAAAAAGACGAATTTGTTGTACCACAAGTTGCGTTCGATAGAGCTGAGATTTCGGATTTTAATAGGTTACATATTATATGATATCTAACAAGGCAGGGTTCATATAAACGACCGCGGTCTGTATAGGGATGATGGTCTGACGATAGCAAAAAAAAAAAAGAACAACAAATGAGGCTATTACCAAAAAAGCTTGCTCAAAAAAGAATTCAAGAGTATTTCGGCTTTGAATAGAAGTCGAAATTAGTAATAATAAAAAAATCTGATTATATTTTTATTGTGAGATTTTCGGAACAAATACCTAACAAGATATCTTTTAAGGCCAATATTAAGTAGGCGACATAGCATTTTTAGATTTTAAGAGAGAATAACATATATAAGATCCCTTACACTATCTATAACCTGTTGTTAATATAATCTTCTTACATCAAATTGGGTTGAATATTTTTAAAAATGTGGTCCCAACATTGGCGCCACATCAATTTCTGAGATGAGGTATTATGTACACTATTTATATTATTCGGACTATTGTCCTCATCTTTATCGCCATATTTATTACAACGTTTCAGCTTTTTCAGTATCTGTCTATATTTCTGAGATGAGGTATTATGTACAATTATTTACATTATTCGGACTAATGTCCTCATCTTTGTCGCCATATTTATTACAACGTTTCGGCCTTTCAGTATCTGTCTATATTTCTGAGATGAGGTATTATGTACACAATTTACATTATTCGGACTATTGTCCTCATCTTTGTCGCCATATTTATTACAACGTTTCGGCCTTTCTGTATCTGTCTATATTTCTGAGATGAGATATTATGTACACTATTTATATTATTCGGACTATTGTCCTCATCTTTGTTGCCATATTTATTACAACGTTTCGGCCTTTCAGTATCTGTCTATATTTTGAGATGAGGTATAATGTACACTATTTACATTATTCGGACTATTGTCCTCATCTTTTTGTCGCCATATTTATTACAACGTTTCGATTTTCTTTATCTGTTTATATTTCTGAGATGAGATATGTGTTTTTCATTTACATTTAAAAAATTATTGTCCTCATCTTTATCGCCATATTTATTACAACGTTTCGGCCTTTCTATATCTGTCTATTTTTCTGAGATGATGTATTATGTACACTATTTACATTATTCGGACTATTGTCCTCATCTTTGTCGCCATATTTATTACAACGTTTTGTTTTTCAGTATCTGTTCTATATTTCTGAGATGAGGTATAATGTACACTATTTACATTATTCGGGCTATTGTCCTCATCTTTGTTGCCATATTTATCACAATGTTTCAGCCGTAGTACACTCCGGTCTTCTTCAGATGGTTGGAATTTCGAACTGAACCATTTATTTCGCTTTACTTCTAGCAGTTGACTAATTATTCTACGCGCCGCTGACGAATCTTATATGTGTTGTTCTTGTCCTAATTATTATCTTTCCTTCGTGTGATTATTTACTCACACAATGCAGAATTATTTTTACAATTCAAAATAGGTTTCTGGTTTAAATAATCCAACAAAGTGTGATAAACCCTAAACGAAACAAAATCAGTTGTTTCAAATTTTTTAGTACTAGGTTTCGTTTTTCGAAATTCGTTACGCTTATACTAATTGGGGTTTAATTTTTATGTTTGGTTTCATGCCTGGGGTGACACTGTAAGATTGAAGATTTAATTCTACGTACAGATAGTTAACAACTTTTTTTTTTACATTATTCAGACTATTTTCCTCATCTTTGTTGCCATATCTATCACAACGTTTCGACCGTTGTACGCTCCAGCCTTCTTCAGGGGGTTGGAATGACGACATGAACCCTTTATTTTGCTCGTAGGAGTAGACTGTTCTAGTTCCTTAAGTGGATAAAGGCGTTGGTTAGATCCAGAGACAGGACCCAAAGAGTTGTGAGTTCAGTACCCGGTTAAGGCAGTGGAGGACTTGGAGAGGTGAATTAACAGGAGATAACTGATAACTGATATCCATTAAACATGGCACGAGGAACTGAAACAGTTTACCCCAGTGAGTGAAATAAAGGGTTCAACTTGAACTTTGAATTTAAGAACGATCTATCTCTGATATTGAGCACTTTATCCCACAAAATATAGCACATTTAAAACTTATATATATATATATATATATATATATATATATATATATATATATATATATATATATATATATATATATGAGTGCGAAGGTATGCAGAAAATAGAACCAAACACGTTGGGTGCATAATCCGGAGTTCCTTATTATTTTTTGTTTTATTTTTAAGAAGACAGTGCTCCATACAGAAGTAGAGCTTATATTATAATATTTTTTTTTGTTTAAAAAATATGATTCCTTCGCTACATAAGAGTTTCATATTTCAAAAAAAAACGAGAGTAAAACCATCCAAATAATTATTAAAATTGTTGAATTGAGGTGTTTCGATTGAAGATGAAACGGAACTAAAATGAAAAACACACACACACACACACACACACATACACACACACACACATATATATATATATATTTATATATATATATATATATATATATATATATATTTACAGGTAATAGATATGTTAGTATATAATAACAATCCCAGTAATATCAGATATAAAACTGTTTTGAGAGAGAGAGCTCAATCGATTTTTCTAACATAGATTAAAACTGTAAACACTCCTTTCAAAGAATTTTTGGTAATTGAAGTATAAGAGTCTAAACCCGTAGATAGATTGGAAACTTATAGGTTTTGCAAATATCCCTAATCGCTTTAAAGATAGATGCTGGCTATATTTTGAGGAAAAAATTACAACACAATGATCAATGCAAACAATGGTCATTATATTATACAATGATCATTGTGATAAATAAATATAATTATCAATGCAAACTATTACATTACAATTCAATGATCGATGTAAACAATGATCATTGTATTATACAATAATCATTGTGATAAATAAATATAATGATCTATGCAAACTATTAAATTGCAATTCAATGATCAATGTAAATAAATATAATGATCTATACAAACTATTAAATTGCAATTCAGTGATCAATGCAAACAATGATCATTGTGTTATACAATGATCATTGTTATAAATGAATATAATGATCAATGCAAACTATTATATTACAATACAATGATCAATGCAAACAATGATCATTGTATTATACAATGATCATTGTTATAAAAATAAATATCAAATTGATTTCTATGCAAACAAATTATTAAATTTTAAATAAATATAATGATCTATGCAAATTATTAAATTTAAATACAAAATCATTTTTTTATTATACAATGATCACTGTTAGAAATAAATATGATGATCAATGCAAACTATTAAATTACAATACAATGAGCAATGCAAACAATGATCATTGTATTATTCAATGATCATTTTTATAATTAAATATAATGATCAGGGCAAACTATTAAATTGCAATACAATGATCAATGCAAACAATGATCACTGTATTATACAATCATCGTTATAAGTAAATATAATGATC